TATAGGAATATGTGTGAGTCAGAGACATTGATGTCTTCAAATAGTATAAAATATTAATGAGCTGGAGACATTGATGTCTTCAAGTAGTATAGGAATATGTGAGAGTCAGAGACATTGATGTCTTCAAATAGTATAAAATATTAATGAACTGGAGACATTGATGTCTTCAAGTAGTATAAGAAGAATATGTGCAAGTCAGAGACATTGATGTCTTCAAATAATATAAAAATATACATGAGCTGGAGACATTGATGTCTTCAAGTAGTATAGGAATATATGCAAGTCAGAGACATTGATGTCTTCAATAATATAAAAATATACATGAGCTGGAGACATTTATGTCTTCAAGTACATTAAGGGTACATGTGAGTTGGAGACATTTATGTCTTCAAGTGGTATAAAAATATACATGAGCTGGAAACACTAATGCCTTCAAATAGTATAGGAATATATGTGTGTTGGAGACATTGATGTCTACAAATAGTATAAAATATTGCATGAGCTGGAGGCATTTATGTCTTCAATAATATAAAAATACACATGAGCTGGAGACTAATGTCTTCAATTAGTATAAGAATATGTGTGAGTCAGAGATATTGATGCCTTTAAAACACAATAAGGATTTATATAAGCTAGAGACATTGATATCTTTGAATACAATAATGATACACATGAGCTGGAGACATTAATGTCTTCAAATACATTAAGGGTATGGAAACATTAATGTCATTGAATATAATAAGGATACACATGAGCTGGAGACATTAATGTCTTGAATACAATAAGGATACACATGAGCTGGAGACATTAATGTCTTCAACTCACTTATACTTCTTGAAGACATTAATGTCTTTGAATACAATAAGGACACACATGAGTTGGAGACAATAATGGCTTTGAACATATGTGAGCTGGAGACATTGATGTCTTCAAATACACTAAAGATGCATTCTGGAGACATTAATGTCTTCAATAAGTATAAGAATATAAGTGAGTTGGAGACATTAATGTCTAAGGATATATGTAAGATGAAGACGTTGATGTCTTCAAGTACATTAAGGGTATATGTGAGTTGAAAAAATTAATGCCTTCAAATACACCAGAAATACACATGAGCTGGAGACATTAAGGTCTTTGAATACACTAAGGATACACATGAGCTGGAGACACTGGTGTCTTCAAATACAATAAGGATATATGCAAGTTGGAGACAATAATGTCTTCAAATACAATAGTAGTCACAGGACATGTCACGCAGATCAATAGGGAGTTGTAAAACATAGTAATAGTAAATTTTTGATGATCTGCATCATAGTAAAATTCGAATTTACATATATAGTAATAGTAAAATTTTACAATCAAATGACTTCTAATCCCCATTTAATACCCTTGTTGTGTAGCAACCACCATCAAATTTGAGATATAACTTCTTTATGATATGTATCTGCTTTAAGAAATTTTTTTAAGCAAGTTGTTAATAAAACTGAAAATAATTCTGACCCTCAAAGTCAAATTTTGCTTTCATATTCATAAATGTAGAAATTTCTTTAGTGCGTCCAATTGCAAGCAAAGGTAGAAATAAATGTCCAAATATTACATTATTATGAATATTTACGGACTCCTGATCACTTAGGTATGTAAAATCATTTATTTTAAAAATAAATGATATTAATATTATATAGATTATAAATAGAGACATTAAAAATTTCTTTTATGCTTTATTCCTATGATGATAAATATAATTATTAATGATTAAATAGCATAAGCAAGCACCTATAATGATACCAGGAAAAGGAGAAGAGAGATGACAATAGATGCAAAGATGTTGATTTTTTGTATATTATTGAATTTACATGGTATTAGTATTGTTATCATCACCATTTATATTTATTTCATCAAGTAATAAATTATTATTAATAAAATAAACTTTTCTAACCTATATATAGGATTTTACATTAGAGACAATACTTTTTTATAAAATTCCAAACATAATTTTTTTATTGAAATGGAATTAGGTTAAGTGAACAAATGGTGGCGAGGGATGTATATTTCATATGTAATCATTAGTTGTTTCTGTATAAGAATACAATTTAGGTTTCTATCTTACCTTAGAATTTTAAATCACTCAAAAATTCCCAAAATTGGGTTATTTGTCATAGAGGCTTCTTCTTTTAATTGGAAACGGCATTAGATTTTGAGAATAAAAAGTGGCAAGGGATGTATATTTCATATGTAATCATTAGTATTAGTTATTTTTACATAACAATACGTACATTAATTAATTACTTAAAAGGATTTCAAAAGATAATGATAGTAAGTTGCCTTAAAGAATTTGTTTCTAGATGTATAATTTATATTATGATAATAAATAATAAACAAAAACAGTAATAAGAATATAGTTAGCTTTATATTTCAATTCAAAGATTGAAAACTGTTTTATGCAAGTTAAAATAGTCCAACTCATTGTATATTTACATAATAATAAATCTTTAATTTTATTAATTTTAAATCTTAAATATTAAATATCTAATTTACTTAAATTAAACTACACATGACACCTAGCACCACCCCTTGGCTCACTAGCAAAATCATTGCAGCAAGTTACAAAAAAAAAACGTCTAATCTACCTACTACACATGCCACCTAGCACCGCCCACTGGCTCACTAGCGAAGCCATGTCAGCAAGCAAAAAAAATGTGAATAAATACAAATATAATAATAAAAATAATAAAAATAAATGGTGTGTGTGACCTTGATATGATGATGACAATGCTGTTGCTATGGCTATGGCTGGTGCAAGGTAATGATGATGATGTTTAGTTTTGATGAAGGACATTATATGTTAAAAGATTTTTTTTGAAAGAAAAAAAATATTATTTACCTTTAACAAAAAATTTTGTTTCGCCAATTGCTCATCATTGCTATTATTATTATTATTATTCTTATTCTTATTGCTTGTTGTTGTTGTTATTATTATTACTATTGTTGTTATTATTAGTAGTAGTAGGAGTATGTATTATTACTATTATTATTGTTGTTGTTGTTAGTGAAATAAAGACATTTTAAATGAATTTTTTAAGCATGTGAGTGTTGTATGTGAAATTGAAATTATGTGAAATTGAAATATTATGGAATGGGGTGAAATTCTGATTGGCTAATTTGAATTTCACACATGTAAATTTGAATTTATTGCGAATTCACATAATAAATAAGAAAAAAAATGTTTCACAAATGCTTAATTACACAATAAAATGCATTTCTTTGAAAATACATGATTATTTAGCAATTTTAGAAAATAAATTTTAACTTTATTATTAAAAATAAATAAAAATGTTCATATGTGTGGGATGTATGAATGGACATCAGAGGGGATAAATCCCATTTTGAATTTATTATTAGCAACAGATGACACTACTCTTTTGAATGGACAGTTGTTTGAGAGGTGGTCAGTTCTCAAGCAAATAAAGCACTTACCTTCTATATGTTCTGGCCTTAAGTTGGGACATTTGCTTGCTTGATGCCCTTTATAATTGCATCAAAACAAACTGTCCCATACCAAGGATTATTGGTATTGGTCACATACACGCCATTGCAGACATCAGTGTTTGTGGTGTTGGTGTTGTGGTAGTTATGGTTTGGGAAGTATATATATGATAATAATATTTATATTTATTTACAAAAATAAAAATAGGACCAAGGTCCATCTCATTTTCTTCTTTGTCATCATCATCATTGTTGCGATTGGATTGTTATTATTGTTGTTGTTGTTGTTGTTGTTGTTGCTATTATTGTTATTGTTACTATTGTTACCACTGTTATAATAATAATAATTATTATTATTTACATAATAATAAATATGATGATGATGATGATGACTTCAGTGATGTTATTCTTGTTCCCGTTCTTGTTGCTGTTGCTGTTGCTGTTTGCTATTGTTGATGAAGTTGCACTTGATGATGCAACCAATGTTACTCATTTGTAGAAGCAGCAGCGGTGGATCTTTTTTTGTTGTGTTTTTTATAATTGTTTCTATCCATAACAAAAATTATAAAAATAGATGTTAGAAAAACATTGCGTCGACCACATGACTTAATTACATATTGACCTGAACTATGTTTGATGATCAATCACAATAATTTATCTACTATTTCAATATTTAAGAAATTACATTTTCCATATGGTACAATTGCACACAGTGATAACTCTTTTTACAACAAACCAGAATTTTCAAATGTTGCAGTTGAAATGGCAGAAAGTCAAAATGAAGAATACATTTCTGATGAAACATATTGTTATTCACAAGTAATTATACAGTTATATGTACCTCTTTTTTCTTTATTTCTCTGTACTAATAGTTTTATCCTTACTTCTACTTTGTATTAGAATAAATACTAAAAACCATGATGTTCATTAATTCAATGGTATGATGCAAAATATAATAACAGAGAGATTTTATAAATATGGTTATCCCTTTTTAAAAAAGTTGACCATTTTCAATTTATTCCAATATTATTAATTACTGAAGTATGCACATTGTTCCAAGGTTTGATCATTTTAATTCTTTTTATGTTAATGTTGTACGTGAAAATGAAATTATGTGAATTCGCAATAAATTCAAATTTACATGTGTGAAATTCAAATTAGCCAATCAGAATTTCACCCCACTCCATAATTTTTCAAATTCACATAATTTCAATTTCACATACAACATTTAATAAATATATATCAACAGAATAATTGAATAATTACAATTTCTACTAAATTTATGTATATACACAAAAGGAAATAAGTTATGAATTATAATGCACATAAAATATACAAAATTTTGTGGAATTTATATGAATTTCAATGGTTATTTTACATACATCTATGATTTTAATACACATAAAAATATACAAAATTTTATATGGATTCCAATGCTTATTTTACATACATGTGGTTTTTATACAGTTCATAAAATTATACAAATTTATGCCTGTTCAAATTTGCTGATGATGGAGATGCCATCAAGGACATATTTGGCATTCAGTTTTAAATACAATAAAAAATCGTAATTCATGGTGTCCTCAATGTGCAGGATGTTCTAAACTTAATATTAATATTGCTAAAGAAATTGTGCTTAAAAAAGATTATCAGAAAAATATATAGATATAGATTCTTTGCTTTTATGGGAATGTTAACGAAGGCCATCAACGGTATACAAGTCTTAAATGTGTAAGAAATTTGGACACATGGTGTCCTCACTGTTCAGGTAATGCAAAAATTTCCATTGAAGAAGCTAGAAAAATCGCGACTAAAAATAAAGGATTATGTCTTTCTGAAACGTATAATGGTGCACATACAAAATTAAAATGGCAGTGTGAAAAAAAGCATGAATGGTATGCAACCGTGGATAAAGTAAAAAATTTAGATAAACGGTGTCCATTTTGTCCATATAAGAGACAAGAACTCTGCAAGGAAATAGTGATGAAATTATTAGGCCCACCATCTGATATACGTAGACCATATTTCTTAAAAACTCCTGATCATCCGTTAGGGCTTGAACTTGATGTATACTATCCACAGTACGATTTTGCTGTCGAAGTTCAAGGTATACAACATGAATGCTTCCATGCTTTCTTTCACAAAAACCAAAAGGATTTTGAAAAGCAGTTTGCACGGGATCAGCTAAAAAAAGAACATTGTGATAAAAATCGGATATTACTTATCAAAGTATGGTATTATGAAGACCTTTATTTAGTGATCCCTCGAAGACTTAAAGATCTTGGTCTTATTTCTTAATTGGTACTGTTCAATCCTTGGACAATTGACAATTTGTGATTTTCTATTTTGGAATTTTTTTCGATGGTCATGTGATTATTTTGCGTAACTTTGTGATTACGTAACCCTTAACACTTAAATGATGAAAAATACAGATCAAACGACAATAACTTTTTCAAAATGATTAATCGAATTATGTCCATAGATAAAAATTTTCAGGGAGTAAAAAATTCTCTAAGAGAGAGAAGGTAAGTAAACATCACACAGAAGTTATTAAGTTCCGCCCAGTATTGACACGTATGATAGTTTGCCTATACAGATAGGCTGGAATTTGTCTGTGAAAAAAATTGATAATTTCTTTGAGCGACACGATACACGCGGATATAAATTTGATATTGATTCAAAGGGAAACGTATTTATAGTCGAGATGGAATCAGACGAACATACATTTGTTGTTGTACGGCTTCTAAAATATTTTGAGGTTCCTAACGGAGGTGTCGTCGATGATCCTCCAATAGATGTTGGGGGTGCTTCAGGTAAGAAAGATTACTTTGGGTAGCTTGCAAAATTGAAATACATTTCTTTTGAAAAAATAAGCATGCCTAGGCTTTTACAATCTTCTCAAATTCTATAATAGCTCACTATCAACCAAATGGAGGAGGATTACCATCAGCACCTGATGTTGCAATATTTCCAAGTTTGAACATTATTTCACCATCTCCAGCTCCGGCCCCGGCTCCACGACGTACACGACGTCAAACCCTACGACCAAAAAGAAGAACTTCCCGACATAATGAGATTCCTCCAGTTACTAGAACGGTTGGTTCTGTGCATATTAGATTTATTTCCTATTTTTTCTTAGTCTTATCATAAATTTAATTATATAGGGAAGACCTCATGCAAGGATCATGTGTGAAGTTGCTGTGTCTCAAGGTTTAATTAATTTGGAAGAAAAATGTGAGCGCTGGATGCTACAGGAATACGTAAGATGCGTATTTGCAATTAAAATTTTTGACAAAGATCCTACACGAATTGTGGCAACTAATCAATTTAATCGGCGTATGATTGTGTGTATTATGGTCTATATATTTATTATTCAATAATTCAATTTTTTTTGTAATTCTAATACTTCCAATACTTCTAATACCAGGCCAGACTTTATACACGACAAATGTGTGAAGTTGCTGTGTCTCAAGGTTTAATTAATTTGGAAGAAAAATGTGAGCGCTGGATGCTACAGGAATACGTAAGATGCGTATTTGCAATTAAAATTTTTGACAAAGATCCTACACGAATTGTGGCAACTAATCAATTTAATCGGCGTATGATTGTGTGTATTATGGTCTATATATTTATTATTCAATAATTCAATTTTTTTTGTAATTCTAATACTTCCAATACTTCTAATACCAGGCCAGACTTTATACACGACAAACAACACCGTCGCCAAATCATGTAGCTATAATTGGACAACCAGGAGTATATTTTGAAGAGGTAATATTAGCACACTGCACACCATTTGTATTTTTTACAATCAATTTAAAGGTATTTTTGGCAAATATTATAGTGGGAATTTGGTACTCTTGATGTTAATGGTAATGCTACTGCTTGCAATGGACTAGGTCTTCCTGCTTATCAAATTAATATTACGGTACAAGAAGTATTCTGGAACCCACCTATTGTTGGCGGAATTCCTTCTACAGCTGGGTATGTCATCACAATTCCTCCTGGACTTACTGCTAATAATTTTGTTATAGATCTATATCAGATTCAACAGGTGGTCTTACGAAATCAAAGTAATTGAGCATATGTACAATGAATTATTGATCAATAAATACTTAATGGTTAAGGGAAAAAACTGCATTAGATGGCAATTTTTTTAATACATCCAAGGAACTTTATTGTAGTATTTTTTGATATACAGAATATAGCTTATATTAAAAAATTTGTATTATGCATAACAATCATATAATATAATAAAAAAACTAAGAATGATTATTTAATGCTACTACCCAATATGTTTTCAAATATTTGACTTACCTCCACTTGATGTAAGATTTGTTCGAAAACTTCACTTAAATAATCATCAATTTCAGATCGATCATAAACTATAATTTGTTTGTAGTATTTTTCTTTTCATTTTCAGGCTTAACATCTAAAATAAATTTTGTAAGTGAACATAATGCGAATTTGAATTGGCCTCGTTTGTCAAATTCTTTTTCAAGTAATTCTCGAAATTTTTTCTTTGACTCTCTAACATTCTTCTTATATCACTTCCATTATCTGGATGAAAAGTAAGAAATTTAGCATTGTAAACTGCTATTACTCGTCTTTTTAGTGCTGGACCTAATTGTTGTTCACGAATTTTAAATTTTTTTCATAATCTCCTGTAATATTACTTAGGCGTTTAAATTCATTTTCAGCTTCTATTTATGGTGTTTGGTTTAACGATTCTTCGTTTACTATTTTTGATTTACAAGGATTTTTTCGTTTAAGATGTTTAGTAAGATCTCTTTGTTTTGCACCTTTAGCGAATATATATCCACATTTAGGACAAATAATTTGTTTAGCCATAGTAAAAATTTGAGGTATAGTATTTGGTGTTGTAATTTTATAATATACTTAATAAAAATATATATTAATATATTTATTTTAGAATTATAATTAAGTAATTGGAGAAATATACCTGTACTTTTCTTTATATTCCAGAGAAATTTGTGGGCGTACTTGTATGAAGCCTGATAGATGCTGTTATCATAAATAGAAGCTGAAAATGAATTTAAACGCCTAAGTAATATTACAGGAGATTATGAAAAAAATCTACTCATTCTATAAGTGGTCGATGTCCCGACCATATATTAGAAGATTTTATGTTATTAAATATTATCAAAAACACTTTAAAAAGAACGTTAATTTTATTTTGTTCAAAAAGGGATATCTTTTAAATATTATTTTTGTCCCAACTTTTTAGCTATTCAGAAATAATTTTTTATTGCGTAGCAATGGGGAATAGCCCCTGTCCTAATTTTCAGCTATTCAGAAATAATTTATTAGTAATTTTAAATTTAAGATAATATATCCCATTTTTTTGTCCTAATTTTTCAACAATTCACATTCAGAAACAATTTATAAGTAATTTAAGGTAAAAAAGATATACAAAAATTTGAACACCATTCCATTTGTGTTATAATATACTTTAATTATTCAGAAACAGTTTATAAGTAATTTTAAGTTAAAGAAGATATACAAATTTTTGAACACTATCAAAAAATTACGCGCAAAACATAAATTCAGCATAAGGGAATTTTTGAACACCATTTTTCACACACCTTGTTTTGGAAATGATTGAAAACGGGTGTGAAGACACACACAAATGCCAATGGGCCTTTTGTCCCAAACCCCCCACAATGGTATTATGTAATATATTTTTTTGCGTCTTCATAGTCCATTTCTTTTAGACCTGTCAGAATTTATGATATACCAATTGATGAAGAATATTTAGGAAAGCTCAATCAATCAATTGGACAAAATTGTAAAAATTTAGAATATTTGGAAATGCTTTACAAAAATGAACAAGATTAAAATTTCGGGGCACATGTAATAATTAATTAATTCACATAACTTTTTTTTCAATTTGTGAGGCTTGTAAATTGTTGTGCGTGAAAATCAAATTTGTGTCAATTTGAAATTTACCAATTAAATTTTGGGGTGGGTGTTTGAATACAAAA